GATGGGGAAACTGATTTGTACTGGATTTCTATCATTATTGAGACGACTTCTTCTTTTTGCCTTGCCTATTCTTTCTTTGGAGAGGAATTATCCTATATTCCGATTTTCTTCTTTTGTGGTAAATAGCATAATTCATTAGGCATCTTTCCTTGCCTTTTCTCTTGTATCTATCATTAGGAAATAGTTAATAAGCAACTTGGAGAGTTTTTTGTACATTTCATGCAATTCAGATTCATTTTGCTTTGATGGAAGGATGCTGCAATCCATTTTCAATACCTAACTATACATTCCTTGCTAAGTAATTTCACTGCATTAGCTAAATGTGCCTGTGAGTGTGATAGTTGATATGATATGGAACAGAATTACTCAGAGGAGAATGACGTTAGTTTTATTTCTCTTAGTGATTCATTTTTTTATACCTTGGGATTGCTGTAGGTAGGAGCAACTGAAAACCCTCCTGCTAGATTGACCTGATTTACATAGTAAACTAAGCCATGATTTGCTTACTAGGGAGAAACGTGATGTACAATACTCAGATGACATTTTAGGCCAAACATTAAACTTCCAAAATAAGTGTATTAAGTCCAAAAGTTGACCATACCCATTCATACCCCGAATATATTGAAAAAAATGATAAAAGTGCAGCTCTCAGCAAAAAAAGAGGCAGATGCGTCCAAATTAGAATGACAGGCAAACCTAATCATTGGATTGCATCCACTGGTATCTGGTCATCTCAGGTCTGTTTTAAAAGCTTGGAGGTCCATAAGAGAACACAGGAAGGAGACTGCATATAAGACAATGGGTATTAGTCAGCATTTTTCTCTCTATTTAAAAAAAATGTATGTTTATTGATAATTTTACATAAAGTAAAAGAAATCTAAAGAAAAGCAAAGGAAAGAAATATTAAGGAAGAAGTTCAAGAAAGAAACAAAAGTTACAAAATACTGTGTTTCCCTGAAAATAAGACAGGGTCTTATTTTCTTTTGACCCCCGAAATAAGTGCTTGGCCTTATTTTTTGGGAGCTCTTATTATTTTTTAGGTGCGGCGAGTGTGGTCACCTCATGGCTGCTACTGTGTTGCAATATTTTTGGGGTGGGCTTATTTTTGGGGAAGGACTTATTTTAGCGCATGCATTCAAAAGCCTGATTTGGCTTATTAGCTGGGGAGGTCTTATTTTCAGGGAAACAGGGTATGACTTCTGACTTTTTCTTCAAAAGATAATAATCTTGTATTAGATATATTAGATACTATAAAAGTCCCTTCCGCCCTCCATTTAATTCCATTTTTTAAATCTTCAAACCATACATCATCATATTGTTTTCTTCTTTCAGCAAAAGGCCTATATAAGATTTTCAGTCTTCAAAAAAGATTTTGGTGTTTTTCTTTCTTTCTCACCAGCTAGGACAGCTTTGCCATTTCTGCAAATTTTTAAGAGTCCCTCTTTGAGGGAGATGGAAGGTTTAGAAATATAAATAAATAAAATTCTAATGTGTTCACAATCTATTCCTCCACTCTGGGAATGTCATTGTTTTTCCCTTGTTTAGCCAGCTTTTCTTAACTTTGTGTCTTCGAGGCATGTTTGAGTTTAGCTGTTTTTGAGACATGTAGAAGAAAGTTATTCCTATTTGGAATTTGAGAAGCTGATGGGTGATCAGTAGTCGATCTGTTCTTATGCAATGTATATATTATTGCCATTTGTTTTTTTTTTGCTTACATTATATGTTATAGCTACAGTTATTTATATGATTGTTTTAGTCCTTCAGCTTTGTTCCATGCCCAGACTTGCTTCCATAAGGAAGACAAAAATGGACTCCAATAGTTAAATAATTAAATGTTAATAATGAGGACCCACTAAAAGATTAACATATAGCAGAAATGCAAATTAAGATCTTTTCAAAAATGCTGTTGATTTCAGAGAGATATGTACAGTGATGAAATGGAAAGAAATAGTGAGGAATGGCAGGTTAAAAAGAATTGCAATTTTCAAATGATCCTACTACCTGCAGATGCTATGTGATCACATCTTTTAATGGAAAATTCCCCAATGTCTTGTCACTGCAGGAAACTGAGCTCGCTTTAGATTAGGCTGCATTCAGGTTTGTCTAATTTTCTGTGGATCTGGAGATTTAAGTGGGTGGTTACACCCATCAACATGAATAACAATCAATGCTAGACATAAGAAGTTAGGTTAGGGATGGAGTGACATGCTAAGTAACAGAATACTGGGGAGGGAACATCTAAACTAAAGTTTCCCCCACATTTTATAAGTTTTAAAGTTTCTTAGTAATGTACAGAACCTAAAAATCTGACCCCACCACCAAATGCTTAATTCATATAATTGCAGGGATAAAAATTCAGAATTTAGAACATTTAATGTGAATTTAGAAATAATAGCAGTATTATGACAAATACATGTACAGTATGTATTTTAAGGCATGCAAAATTGGATGTAACTTTTAAGAATAGTGCAGAAGCCACAGTATAACTACATTAGTTTTACTGTAGAACTATCCTCCAAAACTAAAAAAAACACCTTAGTTGATAAATATAAAAGTCAGCCATTGCCTTAAGATCAGTTTTAAATGTAAATGTTGCTGATAACACAAATTTGGGTGCAACAGATCGTTTACAGGCCAACACTCAAAACTAAAAAAAACCAAAAAAACCTTAGTTGACAATTTCAAGTCAGACATTCCCTTAAGATCAGTTTTAGGTTTAAATGTTGCTGATACCCCTGGTATCAGATTTGGAATTGGGCTGCACGAACAGCAGGCCAGCAGGCAATTGCACCATGTGTGCTGGTCCACCATGTACGTAATCACAGATTTGGTTGCAACGGATTTTTTTACAAGCCAAATTGACAAAATCAATATATTTTATGTATCATTCACCAAACAGAAGTTGTCTAAGGCTTTTTTTTTTTTTAAAAAAGAGATCTGGATGCAGAAGGATTACAGAAGTTTGTTCTGTTGGGGTGCTGGGGAGGAGGAGAGAAATTAAAAATAGTGATGACACTACACACTGTATTCTGTAAAGGGAAAAAAAGCTTGTGACATAATCAAGATAAAGAAACTTGAAATGTGATATCAACATATTTAAATGTCCCCACTTTTTGTAATGGATCTTCATCCAAGACTGATCTGTCTTATATCTGGCTTTTTAAAAAAAAGATTGAAATCTTTGCTTTATTGTAATTTATATTTGATAGTTCTTATTAACAAAGGGGTTATTTCAAAGGTATGCCTCAACTCTGCTTGCTTTATTTACTGAATACAATACTGCATAATCCTTATAAGGAGAAATGGGCATCTTAACCTCTGATAATGCAGGAGGATGGCAGTGTTCTAGCTTGTTTAAATGCAACTCATGACAGGGTCCTTTCTTGTTGAAATGCAAATTAAAAACAGCACCAGAACAAGGGCACACCCTTACTAGGGCCCTTGTTAAAATAAGATTAGATAACACTGAAAGGGCAATATACAAAGGAAAATGTACCATATCTTCCTAGCATGACCTCAAATGAGCTTACCAACTGCAGCTATTTTTCCAACAAGTGAGCAAATGCTGTGGCACAATCCATTCTAGGTCTTTTCAGCTTCTATATTTAGAGGTCTCCCATTAATAAAATGTGAAAATCACATCTCCACTTTAAGCAGTCAAACTTCTATCCAAGCAAGCATGTTTGTTGGATTATGCGGCACCCTGAGAAAATATATATATCCACTTTGCAGTTTGTATTAGACAGCTGAGGTTATTTTATAAATCCTGGCTTTTTTTGGTATTACTTCACCAGAATTTTTTTTATCACTTATCATTATCATAAGCAATACATGTCGATTCCTAGGCTGCTTCTAGTAATAATTTTAGTCTAGTCTCACCTCTTATTGGCAGAATTCTATGAGTTCAGAAGATGATGCCTTACTTTTCTGACTGTTGTTTATTTTTTTCCCTCAGGAAAGGCAATAGAATTGCTGTCTTCTGATTAGGAGAGTCCATAAATGTCACTAATTTTACTGTTATGTATTTATTTAAATTTATATTCTGCCCCCTTCGAAAAGCAGAAGGCAGCTTCTAAGGGAATCTCCCTTTGTTTAATCCTCCCATCAAAAACTTTGAAATAAGTTGGGCTGAGATTGCGACTGGTGCAAAACCATCCAGTGAGTTTCCATGGCTAAAAGTGGTCCTACGAATCTAGGCCTAACCTCCCTACCCATCACAGTGCACCTCTGTTTTTCTGCTTGTGCAAAGTGTGAAAGGTTGCATGTTTCTATCCTGGCGATTAAACATAAGATTGCTAGCTTAAGCATGCTATTCCAACTAGAAGCATCTTATAATGGAATGTTGGCTTCCTTGCATTCTAACCTTATTGGTTAGTTTGGCTGAAATATAATTTGCATCCTGTGGGAAAGTTTGTTTAAAAAATTGTTTAAATGATTCAAAAGAAGCTGATAGCAAATCCAGCACAGAAATAAACTGCTCCCCCCCAAACTATGATAGTGGTCATTAAATCTCTTCCTCCTGGGGGAAAAAAAATCAGCCCAGTGTACTTCATTAAAGCCGGCCAGTTATCTTCTGTCAGCCTAGCTTCCTTATCAACGACGATGCCTGGTTATTACGATTCTGAAGCCCCCGTGGGCAAAAGAAATCACGGGAGGGGAGGGAGGAGAAGGAAGGAAGGAGGGAGCGGGGTGGGGGAGAGAAATAGATGCCTGTTCAGAAGAGTCCGTCCTCATGTTTATCATCCCCTTGCACGGAGCACAACGTCTGCAAGTTGACGAAGCGCAGCCACCGAGCCAATCAGGCTTTCGTCTCCTGCCTCCGTGTCATCAGCCTTCGGTCGGAGGCAACGCTTTTGCTTTGCTGTTCGGACTCCGAGCGAAAGAGAAGGAAAGAGGCAGAGAAAATGCCTGCGCTGGGCTGCCTCTCGGGATGATCTCCTCTCCTTCGAGGATGTGAATGAAATAGCGGCGCGGCCCGGGGGGCGGGTGGGGGGAAGCCGCGCAGCCCACCAACTGAACAAGGCAGCCTGAGCTGAGCCGGACTGGCTGGGCCTTTCCCCGCTTTGGCAATCCCAGTGGTGTCTGTGGCCCAGGTGTTTACTTTTTTTTTTTTTTTTGCCTTGAAAAAGGGGCTCTTTGGATTATCAGACCTCCATGTATGACAATTTGTACCTGCATGGATTTGAAGACTCTGAGGCGGTAAGTCTTCCTGCCTGCCTGCCTGCCTTCTTTCCTTGCCCCCTTTCGCTCCCTCCCTCCCTCCTTCTTTCTTTGCCCCCTTTGCTTGCTTGCTTGCTTCCCTCCTTCTTTCCTTGCTTCCCTCCTTCTTTCTTTGCCCCCTTCCCTCCCTCTCTTCCCTCCTTCCTTCCCTTTAAGGCTTTTGGCGTGTTTCTCTTCCCCCCCCCCCCCCCTTCAGCAATAACAAAGTAAGCAGAAGGAAAAGGATATCCAAGAGCTGGGCTGTTTCTTGGTGGGATGGTAGCAGTGCATTTGATCTGCAGGCACCTAAACTAATCCCAGGTTATGTAATTCTTCATTCAGCATCCCTGAAAAGAAAGGCAGGGGTGGAAAGCATTCGGTCGATAGACTGTGCACCCTGGATCCTCAAGGCAGGCTGGAGGAATGCTTCCCCGGGGTTTCTAATTTGGACAAATGTCCTCGCCCTTGTGCAACTATGGTGAACATCTAAAAGAATGTGGGAATGATGCACATAATGCTACCCTCTCTGCTTTGCTTAAGAAGATTGTTATTTTCCCAACCAGATTTCCCCCTCTTTTACCTAGCCAAATAATCAGTATAGATCCATTTGCTTTTCTTGAACAAAGAAACAGCACAAGTGGTTGGTGTAATGCAATCCTGTAACATCACAAAAACAGTAGTGATGCTTCTAAGAAGCTGATTACTGAGACCAAGGTGTCATGTTGACTGGTCTTGTCATTTTATGCGATGTTGGTACTCCGTAATAGATACCTGCTCTCTTAAGCCAGGATAGGCATTTATATTTGGCCAGAATTGATTGCCAGTTATATGAAAGCCTGTGCTAGTTGGAAGCCAGTTGAATGTAGATTGGAAAAAGGCAACTGAGGACTATAAAGCATAATACTGTAACTGTCTTAGTCCAAATCTTTACCTCTACAGTTTAAAAAAGTCCTTAGGGGGCAATGTTTTCTCTGGACAAAGAGAAAAGTGCTTAGATTGACACAATGGGGTACATGCTTTTCCACATTAAAAGAACGTGTTACATAAGATTTATTGCAAAGGCATAAAAATGCAATGATCATAACATAAAACAGTCTCTGTATCAATAGGGGCATTTAAGATCAGCACTGATAAGATCCATCTGGAAATGGACAAGATCTTATGTATTTTGCAAATGTCCCTGTTGCTCTAATGCTCTTTGGAATACAGCTGCAGAGTACCGCATTTTGAGATAGATTCAACCACCAATATTTGTTATTTTTACAATTTTTCTAATAGGAAAGTTGAAATTCAAAGTGAGTTAAAAACAAAATCTCTTTTGACTTTCAACACTTGCTGTTTGATTTATTGATTTCATATTGGCATTTCCTCATCCGGCAGGTATTTTTCTCCACAATGTATATTTTCCCAAACTTCCTTGTCAATGCATTTTTTTAAAAAATTCTGAGCTAAGGTTTATTAATACATTCATAACTTTTTTCAAAATAAGGCAAGAAATTTTTCGATTAATACCTCTTTGGATGAATGACTGGCACTGCAGAAATATACCAGAAATATTTTTAGGTGAAGTAGCCAAGCTTAGTGGGTAAAATGTCTGGTCTTGAGGACACCCGGATTTTTGGATTGCTCATCATTAGCTCTGCAGATGGACTATAACCCCTTCCTTGTCAGGCTCATTTCCCCCATTCAAGGTGTAGCAGGCACAGAAACCTCTCATTCAATATTGTTGTGTGAATGAATGAGAAACTGCACTGAAAAAAACCCCTGAAACACAAAATATATTGAACAAGAAAAAAATAAAGCCAGCTGCAGTACAGAATTTCTGCATGATTCACTTTAAACACTCAGCCAATACCTGCTAGTTTGTGCATGGACTAAAAATAGTCTGCTTTGGCCAAGATAATCATTTCCTTCCCTGGATATGGAAGGAGCCGTACTTTGTTGCCCAAAGTTCACGCTTCTTCCAGAGAGCTTTTAACATTTGCATGGCTCATGCTATTGCCAGCAGATTGTCATGAGCACTTGCTGGACATGGCTGATGATGTGAGTGATAATGCTGGGGCCATTGGGTGAAATAGATTATTTATGTTTAAAATTGATGGGTACTGCCTGGATTGGGAGAGTAATGGTGGTGAGAGGAGGGAGAGGTCTGTTGAATTGGTATGGGGGAAGACCATGTTATATCCTTCACTGCACTGGGATGTTTGTCCTTGTAAAACTTACCTTTGTGGGTGTTTTTAAAGAGATTTCCAAAAAGGAGACTTCAAACTGATAATGGTTCCATAATCTCCGTTACTTAAAAAGCCTGTCTTAAGCTTTTAAGATTCCGAGAAGTTATGTGCCAGCAAAGGGCAGCCTGCTTGCATTTACTATTAAGCCAAAATTGTGACTTGTTCAAGAGAATATTAATTGTAGTTTTATATATGAATCTTCTCCCCCACCTTTTTTTTCTGAAAGAGTAAGTTTTAGGGCAGAAATTAAATTATACTGTTTATGCTGCATTGATAATAATGTAGGAGAATATATAATCCCACTTTAGTGAATAAGAGTATTATGTTCAAAGTTGAGGCCTTCTGTCACTGAGGTGGTGTTCTGCAAGAATGGGCAGGTAAGAACTTAAAGAAAACAGGTATTGTAAAAATGCGTTATATGTGTGCGTCTCACTTAAACTGTATGAGTTAAGGGGTTGTAAACAATTCTGGATTGGTAGAAATTTAAACAAAGCAACCAAAATGTTCAGCTGGGTTTTCATGTCTAAAAATACAAAGACATTTATTGAAATTGGTTTTTTTTTGTTTGTAGGAAGAATATCTGTAACTAAAGACCCTCACGTTGTAACATGAATAGGTTGGAATGACTCAAGACTAGTACGGCAATTTTTACTGCAGTATGCCTTATAGAATCTAGGTTGCTCAAGTTTGATGCCTGACCCATGCTGCTATGCTGCAAATTCACGAATAAAGTGAGGATTTTGAAGGAAGTCAAAATATAATTTGAAATTTTTTTCAGATTCCAAATTAGTCTTGGATGAAAGGACAATTTGTGGAGATAGGTGCTAATTAATGTATACCACCTGTCATAATTTTTTAATGAGCAGTTTTGTATGGATACTTCAGGCAAGCCCAGAAACTTCTCATTAAAATTGAGAATATTTGGGGACAAGTACTGTACCCGTGGCAGGTGGTAGGATCTTGCTGACCTTGGATGATTAGTAGTTGGAAGGGAAACCAACTGTAAAACACAAGATGTGTTAGCTACTCTGGAAAGTTGAAAAAAAAATCTCAGAAGTGGAGAGTGGCTAGCTAATTCTGGAATCCTGCCCAGAAATCTGCATGGAAGTCTTTATATAGTCAGAAAGACTCAAGTTGAATTCAGGAGAATGTTTATTTTTACCTTATACTTTGTTAGTGAAAGAAGCTCGCTCATATCATGTCAGAAAAGAGAGTAATTTCTTTCAAAGATAAACAAGAAAAAAAGATTTGATCATTTAAGAATCTAAATCATATTTTTATTTATGTTTATTTATAAAGTAGTAAGGGTTTTTTATTTAAATGTAGATAGCAATAGCAATTTCACTTAGACTTATATACTGCTTCACAGTGCTTTTACAGCCCTCTCTAAGCAGTTTACAGAGTCAGCCAACAATCTGGGTCCCCATTTCACCCACCTCGGAAGGATGGAAGGCTGAGTCAACTTTGAGCCTGGTGAGATTCGAATTGCCAAATTGCAGGTGGCCGGCAGTCAGCAGAAATAGCCTGCAGTACTGCATTCTAACCACTGAACCACACGGTTCTTATTTGCTTTATAATATCCTGGTTTTATTTGCTTGATGTTCTGTTCAGGTGGCTTTCCATAACATATGATCATCATGGAGTCTTCCCATTACAGTTATATGTTGTGACAATCATAAAATGGGATGGTCACGTGACTGATTCGGTTTTACAACTTGTGTGTGTGTGTGCATGCGTGCACATGCGCTATTGTTAAATAAACCAATAATAGCAAAACTGTATTAAGTTGTGGTCCTGTGACTGTGGGATACCGCAAATGATTAAGTGAGGCAGTGTTGCCAAGATCCCAAATCTCAAGTCACATGACTGTGGAGGAGGCCCAACTGTTGGAACTTTGAACCCAGGTTGTAAGTTCCTCTTTTCAGATCTGTTGTAACTCTGAAAGGTTGTTAACCGACCAGTTGTAAGTTTCGATTGCCTGTATACAGTGTAGTTCAGAAAGCCTTTTGAAGCAAGTCTTTGGCCTTCGAAGTGGCATGAGTAAAAAGATGTGTTTAGAACAAAAAAAGGAGTTAGTCCAGCTCAAGGTTGTCTCAGCCTTACATCTTTCCAAGGTCAGTAAAATGAGGACACAGGTTGTTGGGGGCAATATGCTGACTCTAAACTGCTTAGAGATGGCTCATTATATATGAAGCAGTGTATAAGTAACAGAATAACAATTGGAAGGGACCTTGAAGGTCTTCTAGTCCAACCCCTTGCTCAGGTAGGAAACCCTATACCATTTCAGACAAATAGTTGTCCAATCTCTTCTTAAAAACTTCCAGTGTTGGAGCATTCACTACTTCTGGAGGCAAGTCATTCCACTGATTAATCGTTCTATCAGGAAATTTCTCCTTAGTTCTAGGTTGCTTCTCTCCTTGATTAGTTTCCATCCATTGCTTCTTGCCCCGCCTTCAGGTGCTTTGGAAAATAGGTTGACTCCCTCTTCTTTGTGGCAAAGAAATATTGGAATACTGCTATCATGTCACCACTAGTCCTTCTTTTTATCAAACTAGACATACCCAGTTCCTGCAGCCGTTCTTTATATCTTTTAGTCTTCAGTCCCCTAATCATCTTTGTTTTTGCTCTCTGCACTCTTTCTGGAGTCTCAACATCTTTTTTTACATTATGATGACACCTCAAAAAGTCTAAGTACTATTGCTATCCAACTCAGTATATCCTTTCTGTCCCCAACTGTCTTTACTTTTTGTTTGCAATTGCATTTGGATG